ATCCGGCTACGTTATCAGGCGCACACAAATTCAGCAACATTCCCTGAAAGTGAGTTGGCAACATGGATGCGACCGCCTACCAGCAGCAGCATGCACTTGCTCTCTCGGATGGCCCCGCAGCATCCCAGAAAACCAATGATGACGAGAAGCACTCCGACAGCGATCAGCAGGTAGCCCACGTTGAGCACCTGGCCGAGCTCCGCGGGGGCGTTTTCAATCATGCCCAGGAAGCCCAGGATGGAGCCGCTGTCCACCTTCACCCAGATGCCAACACCCAGGATGACTGCACCCGCCAACTGGGGGACAGTTACATGGAATAAGAATGCTAGCTATCCATCTAGCTAGCCAGCTAGCTAGATGGATACCTACCTACCTACTGATATATGCAGATATGTGTGTGTGGGTTTGTGTGTGTACAGTGAAGTAAATAGCAGTTTGATTTGAATAAAATAATATTGCCCACATCTTATAGTTATCCAATGATTATTTGTGGCACAGGTACATGTTGGGCTGCCTTCACGAGGCGGTTGGCAATAGCTAAGAGTCCATAGGGAGTATTTCACATTTAAAGTATCAAAAGCATCAACTTACAAAGATAATACCATTGAAAACAAACATCATAAACTTGAGGAATCCAAAGCATCCCATTTTGGTTGGCGGCCGTTGTGTTCAACCTGTAGAAAGAAAGAAGCAACGCACAAGTGGGTTGGCCAGCCATCACAATAACGGGTTTGCTGTTCACTTTTCGCAACAACTTTAAAGATATTTCCCCTTTCAAAAGAACACTAATGTGATACTGTATTGTTAGTATTCATATTTTTGATGGTTTACACGTCACATTCAGCACTTGAAAGCTCTTTTAAATGCGAGCACTGAACAAGGGTGTGGCACCTGCTGGTTTTTTTCCACCATCCTTTATGAACATAACCTTTGCTACTTCAAACATCATGCATTTCAATTCATCCACATGACATTGAACAAACACATATCATCTTACGAGCATTTGTCTGGCGGCTTTGTCCGCTTTCAAATCAAACCGAGGAGGAAACGTACCTCCTGAATTTCGGGAAAAGTCTTTTTGAAAAATGAGTGACCTAAACTTGATCAATATTCATGTAGAGCAAGTGGTTCGTGTTCGATTTATGCTGTATCAAAAACAAAAAAAAAAATTAATAATGCAAAGGCTACAGCAATGAGTTTTTAAACTGTTATGATCATGTCGTGTTACTTAAAACAAGTGCAATTACTAAACGCTTTCTTTTAAAAAACAATTTAAGAAGTTTGATTTGATTGTTTTGAACCGGAATAGCTTTCTGTACACAATCGCTTAAAAGAGATTAAAAATATGAACACATTGGAGTTACTTGAAATCCCTTTCAGTGAACGCAAAGAATCCCATTTTTTTTTTCAATTTTATTTCATGGCTGGGATGTGCTACGTTGCCACATTGGACGGAAAGGATTTGGGAGTGTTTTGAAAAGGCGACATTTCAACAAACCAAAAAAATTCTTTCTAGATCTTTTTTCATCCTATGCTGACATCCCATCTAGTCCTCAGTGGTACAAAGGCGGTTACAGGAGGACCTCTCGTAAGCACGCGAAGCGTTATGCGTGATGCGCGGTGACCTCCCGGAGGAGCCTTTGCGTTGTGTCAGACAACGTGTGAAGTGTGATTCTTGCCGACAATGACAAAAGGCAAACCCCTCTCTATGTGTGCGATCTTCTTACTATAACTGCCCCCTCACTCATTGTCGGTGCGCGGAGCATTTCTCAGCTCAGCGAGCCCGCCGGCCCACGTCAAGTTAATCATCCATTTGAGGGTCAGAGGTCAAGTTGCCTTGACTCCCCTGTACAATTTTACTCCTCTTCCTCATGGAGTCAGGCCGCGTGGAATGGCAATTCAATGCAAATGAAAGCCGTACCCGCATGCAAATGTTCCGATGCGACCCTGTTCAAACTGCATCCAACCTCAACGAGCGGTTTCAAAAGGGGATGTTGAGAGAAATACTTGCTTGAGGCCAAAGCATACCTGTCAACTCATACGGTTTAGCCATAGTTCATACGGATTTTGTGGTGAATCTAACGTATATGGCCGTATCGCACAAATCATACGAAAATTTCCGTTTTTTTTTGTTTTTTCCCCCCCTAACAGTTAGTTCCGTTTGCTTTTGCCCAGAATGGTGCGAGTCTACTCGAATGCTTTCATTTCCGGTAACTTTCCAGTAAATCACGTGGTTCCTAGTTGAAAACAGCAGAGTATTCATTCCATACTCCGGTAGTGTACAAGCAAGTTCTACAAGGAAACAAATATATCATTCATATTTCGTGGGTTTTTTTCTGCCGTTATTTTGACATATAAAATGCTTTGGTATGTTATAAGGATTTTTTGCTCTTTATAAGGATTTTTTTGGTAGTTCATACAGGTTGGCGCTCCGAAAAGTTGACAGGTATGACAAAGGATGGTTTCACGGGTGGCGGATTGAACAAAGCAACAAAAAGGAACACAATTCAAGTGATTTCAAGTCCTGCTTACCTCTGAGAGAAAAAAAAACTCTGAGCTTGGGTCACCTACAGGCAATCTTCTTCCTTGACTCCAGTGATGGAATAGCTTGGGAGAAGACAGTGAAGCTAAATGCTCTTAAAAAGACAAACGAACAACAAATTCAACAAAAAAAAAAAAACCCTTCCAATTTGCCACCTGTGGCTCTGTTACATCGGTAAGAGCTTTTGTTGCTTTTCACCCGCTATTTTCAAGCAGCCAGTTGATTTGTAAGTCGTACAGAACCAAAGAGGGAGGGGGAGGGAGGCGTGACTAACACATCACCATGGAGCCGGACTGGTGCTTGCTACCCCTGGGGGAGGAGGCGCTCGGATCACCTGGGTGGAAACTTGAGTTGGGAAGAGTCATTTTGAAAACAAAGATTTTTAAGGCGCCAATGGAAGGCTTTCACTCTTTGGCCAGACTTGAGCTCTATTTTGTATTTCCTCGCTCGTCTCGGTGTGATATTAAAATTGGGTTGATAGTTTGATGTATACTTGTGTAATTCGTGGATGAATGTCGTCACGGTGTGATATTAAAATTGGGTTGATGAACTGAAACCTTGGCGCGTGTGATAAATAGGCAAAGAACACAGAAATCAGGGCAAATTCTTTTTAACAGCACTGAATTCTTAAACAAGCAAGTGCCAGTGTTCATCATGAAACATTATATGACGCACCGTGTTTGCTAGTTTGATGTATACTTGTGTAATTCGTGGATGAATAATGAAAACAAATGTGGACGTGGGGTCTCAAGAGTGCAACGCGCTTCATACTCGGGCAACATATTTCACTTGCACGATGACTTCAAGAACTGACTCAACCGAAAATGATATCAATGATTAATAGTTGAGGGAAACGAATGCATTTCATTGCTCATCATCGATTTGACATGTTGAAGTTGTTGACGAGTGGGGTGGGCGCCGTGAGCAACACACGCAGGCAGTATTCCCAGTAGCCTCTTGAAAGCTATGCCTAGCGAAAGGTTGGGTATCAGTCACCGCATGACTACGTGCCGTGGCTTTTGTCCACACCCACACTTGATCACAAACACTCGAGGCGAGCACTTTACGCAAGTGGGCCCGTTGCACACTATTAAGCACCGATGCTCGGCAAATGTCATTTGGTGAAAGAATGGTTTCTGTGTGAATGGAGGCCACGGATTTTAATGATTCATCAGCGGAGAGGCCTGTCAGGGACGAAAAAGTGCATTTGCTTAGGAAAGAAAACACACCGTCCAGTCGGCTTGGAACAGTGACACAAGGAGACACCGTTATTTCCTGAGAAAGCGTTACACGACGTTTACTTGTGAACAAAGATGAAAGTAAATCCATCACAAATGTCCCTTTGCTTGGGCAATAACGGAGGCATTTGGTGGAATGACACCTGCGTTCAAGGTGGTTTTATCAAAACTAAGTGCAAAGTAGTTCCCCGCATCTTTGACAAAGTTTCCTCATCATTAGAAACATGACCTTAAGTGACGTCAATCCTGGCGAAACATACAAGGGTCCATTGCTATTTTCTGCGTGAGAAGTGCAAAAATGCCAGTTGCGCTTCTTTTTATGTCAATGTATTTTATAAATATTAACAAATAGTAAAAAAAAACATAACTTCAGACTTGGAAGTAGAAGGAACCTTTTTTTCACAACATTAGGTGTTTTATAATCATGTTGCCATATGTTAAAAAAATAAGAATAAATTAAGCTGAAGGGGGCTGGGGGGGGGGGCTTACATTAAGGGTAGTTTAAAAAAAACATTTGGAAGAGCTTCAATTTCTGGGCCCGGCGGGTTGCAATTTGCTGTGACCTGCACAGCTGTTGAAGTGAACGTCACAAACAAATACTTGCTCAAGAGTCCTCTTGCTTTGTCGCCAGATTGAAGATCTCAGGAGGAGAGCTTCTCTGGGTGGCTCTTCAACTTGTGAAATTTAACACTGTCCAACTTCTCAAAGCGTTTGTCGCAGAACTCGCAGGTGTAGTTGTAGTGGGCCTCCGGGGTGTGTTTCTTCATGTGCCAGTTAAGGGACGCACGCTGACGACACTGGTAGCCGCAGATTTCGCATCTGACCGGCGAGGATGGCGGAGAAAAAAAAAAAAAAAAAAACGGAAAGCAAAAAGATGCAGTTGAATATCGACCTCATGCGCGTGTCCCTCAAACTGCACTGAGGGGGAAAACACGGCGGAATGAGGCAAAGGTTTACAGTGCTGCGCCTCCATAGTGGGCCTCCGGGGTGTGTTTCTTCATGTGCCAGTTAAGGGACGCACGCTGACGACACTGGTAGCCGCAGATTTCGCATCTGATCGGCGAGGATGGCGGAAAAAAAAAACATAAAAAAAAAAACGGAAAGCAAAAAGATGCAGTTGACGGATCGTGAGAATGAGAAGGTACTTCAACCGTGCTGTTACTTGCATTTCAACCTAAATCAGGCTAAATCACCCATTTTTAAATTGCACAGCCACTTTTGCAGATGCACATATGCTTAGATTTTATATTTCACTCTGTACTGTGTACAGTTTTTTTTTTTTGTGCATGCAAATATTTGTTTAGTTTTTCTACTTTCTCCTTTCCATAATTTTTGCTGCTGTAAATTGCGAATTTCTCCATTGTGAGAAAAATAAATGTTTTGCCGCTGGTGATAATTCATGTGTTTGTGTCAGAGATGAAAGAGTAACAGAAACATCTTACTGTAAAGGTGTTTCTCCCGTGTGAGTCCGTCGGTGAACTTCCAGGTGATTCTTGCGCTTAAACGATTTCCCACACGTCTCACAGATGAAATCCCGCACCCCTACAGAGAAATGGCCCCTTTTTAATTGTGAGCAATTTGATCTTCGAGAAAAAGAAAACAAGTGGATGCTTTACTAATCCCGATGACAATGAACAAGAGCGTCTTTTTGAGTCCACCTGAGTGGATGATCATGTGGCGATGGAGGTGGTTGGACAGGTAGAATTTTTTTCCACAGCCTGGGTGAGGGCAAACTTTGGTCCTGCCTTTCCTGTGAACTAGGTTCACATGATTCTACACACACACACACACACACACACACAAAAAAAAAAGTGTTGACATGAAAAGCGGAAACGTGAAATCGGAATGAAATGGGTTGTCTCACCTGGAAGCTGCTCACGGCGACGTACACTTGACTGCAGCCCTCGTACGGGCAATGGAACATCTTGAGCATCCCGTCAGCCTCAACAACTGGGCCTCGCCTGCTTCTCTTTGATCTAGCGTGACAACGATGACAAAAAAAAATATGCTTTTGTTTCATTCTTACATCAATTATTCTGCAGATTCATTGATTGATCGATTTTCATTCCAACCAACAAACCTGCCCAGACTCCTCTGCAACTCGTGGTCCGGAGCGTCAACAGTGGGTTCTAGCGGGTGCTTGTCACTTAATTCTGTCGACAGGAGATGCAAATTGGAGCCCTCCTGGGGAATGTGCTTTCGTTTCATTCTTACATCAATTATTCTGCAGATTTATTGATTGATTTACATTCCAACCAACAAACCTGCCCAGATTCCTCTGCAACTCGTGGTGCGGAGCGTCAACAGTGGGTTCTAGCAGCTGCTTGTCACTTAATTCTGTAGACAGGAGATGCAAATTGGAGCCCTCCTGGGGAATGGTACCTGAATACACGGCAAGTCTGGCAAGATGTAAAATCCTGACCTGCCCTCGCGCTTTTGTTACTGAGGTTGCTGTTTGTCCTACTTTACAATATCAACTGTTTGGTGGCACTTGATCACTTCTCATTGGAAATAGCAGAAGACAACAGGTCGGATCGACTTTTCTGAGTAACACACCTGTCATGCGGTCTTCGTCCTCTGTTGCTTGGAGTTTTGATTCAGGCTCTTGGTGGTAGGGGATGTCCCTGATGACAGCGCAGGTGTCTTGCGTCGCATTCCCAGCGCCCACGCTGAGCTGAATTCCGTCCGACGCGAGAGCCTCATAGCTGGGGCCAGTTATGATAATTAGCTGTGACCAAAAAATGAAGGACACTCTTATCCTGATTCAACAAGAGAGCGGACTCCGATTTCAAGCAGCTCATATGTTCCAGACTCACCCACTATTGATGACATTTTGCACTGGAAGGAGATATAAATTTGTCTTTTGTGTTTTAAACATGATGCTCAAGTAAAGTCAATCAATCCATCAAGACATGAATGTGCGAACGCGCATTTAAGAGGCGGGGCCGACAGCGGCTCCTGCGTGAGTTTGCTCGTTGTGTTTGCGTTTTACTCCCCTCCCAGCGTTCGATAACGGCTGAAAAGTACATCAACAAATGTGGCTCTCCCAAGTCAGGGTATGACTGTACAGTCACCAGGTATGTTTTAAAAAGGGAAAATAGCACAGTAACAGAGGTCCCGCTCTTCTCATGATTGAAAAAGTGGAATACACGCACACACTCATACTGACCTGTGAGCCTTCTAAAGGCGTCTGTTGGTTAGGAATCTCGCAGTTCGTTACCACCGTCCGCAAAACGTGTGGGTCAAAAAGCTGCCCTTTCTCTTGTGCCCGAACGGGAGATGAGACCAACAGCTCTGGATGGGAGGGTGGGACCGAATCGCCTAAGTCCTCATCCACGTTACCCGGTTTTTCAGCAAAAGATGTTCCCACAATGACACACTCATAATCACACCCAATTTCGGGTTCTTGCGCTTCACCAGGCTCCTCGGTCGCACTTCCATCTTGGCTTCGCCGAGCGTCCTCGATCTCCTCTTCCGAGGTGAGGGGGTGAAAGATCGGCTCAGGGGAGCCACGTGGTCGCTCCAGTACCATCTCCCACACAGGCGGGACAGTCAGGGAGACATCATCGGAGGAGCTCTCCACACTTGCATGCGGTGTTACGGCTTCTTCGCCATGTTCCAGCTCGTTTGCGGTTGTGTGCTGAACCTCAGAAAGCACTGTTGTTTCTCCTAAATCTTGAAAGCAGATAAGAAACGAAAAAAATGAATGGACAAGAAATTCATCAATTTGGTCAGTCACGAACCACATTTTCAATGTGCACCTTTTAACAGACAATTTGCTTTTCTCTTCCGGCTTGATAACCTTTTCGGCACCACTAAGTCTCTTTTTGCAGCATTTTCACCATCGCCGTTTTCTCCGTTTTCTCTCTCCTCCTGCTCAGAGTCACTCGTCTCACTCAGGGGGAAGAAAAGGTGTTGCACAAAGGAATGGTCGGAGTCACATTGCCAGATGGCGGCAGTCGACAAGTTGGGCTGGGGCTCCAGAGCCCTGAGTTGGGGCTCATGAGGGCAGGAACGCAAGTGCTCCTGGTACCAACACACCAGACTATGGAGACTCGACTCACGCTCCCTCTTAACTGGCAAAAGACAGGTCAAAGACACAGAAGAGTCAAAGGTTTTGAAAATAGCAGCCTGCTTGAGTTTTCAAATGCCACCTTGTTCACGTGGGCGCCGGATGCCAACCGTCCTGTTTCCAAGCCTCTCTCATCATGTCAAACTCTCACATACCGTAATGCTGACTAGAACTCACCTTTTCTCTCAGGCGCTGAATCCAATGTCCCCTCTAGGGTAATGGTTTTCCTGAAATATGTAAGAATGGAAAATGTATTTTGATAAATGGATGGCCTTCTTTATATTGTTCGCATCTTAGAAAAAGGCTAAGTAAGTGCATGTTTGGCATAACAGGAGTGGGTTACTTGTGCAGTGCATAGGATCTTATATGTGGAGAAAAACAAAGGTATCCGATAAACTGCAGGGAAGCTTACTTTGAGTGCTTCTGTTGATATTTCTCTCCAAATGTGGAATGAAGCACGATTAAATACGCTGCCAGCCCAGCATCACTCAGACTTGTGCGCCTTCGGAGCTCACTCCAGAGCTTGTGCGACTCCCCCAAGTAAACCCTCCGAATGTCGTATTTCTTTCGGGATTCAAGACGTCGCTGTGCTCGGTCTGACTCCGTCAGCCTGGGTCTCCCTCTGCATCGCCTTAATACACCTTTCCCTCGGTCCCCAGCCGGCTCAAGTACAAGTGGAACCTCCAATTCTGTCAGGTTATTCGCCATCTTGACGACAACAGCTGATGCCGTTAACATCCGGAAGTTGTGCTGGTCTTAACCGGAAGTGCTTAAGAAACACTGCCGTTTGTGTTGTAAAACGGCCGCGTTAAAAACGCATTTACCTTACCGGCATCTACGGCGTTCTTAAATCTCATTCAGTAACTTAATATGGACGAAATCAAAGAAAATCGCAGCACAGTCAACACAAGAAAAATGACGTGTGAAGCTGTTGTTTCCACACGGACCGCAAAGACACGCGCGCCAGAGTGCATCATGTAAATAGACGCACGAAACGTCAGAGCGACTTTGGAGTCAACTTCTGGTAGAGCGTCGGTCATGACAGACGTTTTAACGCATATGTTCACAAACTTTATGTCACGGGCGGACTCATCGAAGGATCTCAAGGTGATTCCTCCAGCACCGGCACAATGCGGCGTCCTTGTAGTCGGAGAGCAAAATCTCGGACGCTCCGTGTTGCTTCTCGCGGCTGTTACGGCTGCGTGTCGGCTGAGCGTAAAGGTGGTGTTCTTCGCTCAAACGCAAATCCAAAGCCTGCCAGTGTCTTTGCAGAAATGTGTTCCAAGTCTGAGCCCGGAAAGTCTAAAGGTACCATCTGAAATAAAATACTGTAAACAAAGGTACACTTTCTTCTTACCAAGCAGTACGTACAACTCGTGTAAAAAGAAAGAGAAAACGACTTTTAAAAGCAGAAGTAGTGATCAACTCCTGTTCTTAAGTAAAAATAAAGAGCTGAGATTCCATCATTTAATTTAGTAAATAAGTACAACCAAAAACAACTGACGACCTTAAAAAAGAATTCATTTCTCCATGTTTTTATTTTTAGTCAAAAAACTATGACCTTGCAACATGTCCTTACCAGCAGCTCAATTATGCTAATTCCTTTCTTCATTTTTTTGCAAGCAAATCAAATTCTGCTATCCGAGGACATTGGAGGAGTTGCTCCAGCAAGTGGCAGGCCTTCATGAATCCACCAACACCTTTCCCGTCCCTCCATCACTGATCATCGTTGACAGACTGGAGGACTTTCTGCGCGGACCCGCGGATGAAAGCCACGGCGTTGAGCAGTCCCGCGCTGCACACCTCTCAGCGTTGTTGTGCGACACTGCGACTTTTCTCACTGGCCTCCTTGAGCAGCAGACCTCGAGCCCCGCCCCCTGTCGCGTTATCGCCTCTTATAAGCCAAAAGAGCAAAGCGGAGAATTCTCTGTCTCGGATCAAGTTCTCGATACTTTGGACCGCTACTTTCAAGTACGATGTACTCTGGACCAAGACAGAAGCTACAAAGCTGCAGCGGCCGGGCTGCAGGAGGTGTGGCACATTTATTTTTCAGGAACCGGTATCACCCTTGACCCTTGCGCCGAAGACACTGAGGTCAAGCCGGGTTTGGCACAGGAGTGGCAGTTGTCAATATATCCTGATGGTTTCATGGAGTTTCAGTTAGTTTGAGCACATCTGCCAATTAGGGATGAACTGAAACCACAAAAAAGTTCACCAGAGGCAAGAAGTGGAAAACTTTAACTGCTAGAAAGGAGACCCGAAACACATGGACATTAATACAAGGCATCCTAAAAAGATGAACGTAACATTTGGCCATGTCAATGCATAACAGGCTAATAAGCAGTTTTTGAAAGCAAATGATTTGCAACAGAACATGTCTTATTTGTAGGAAGACATTTTAACACAATGGGTTAGTCTACTTTACATCACCTCAAAATGTGTTTTTTTTTCCCCTTTACAAATAATGCTCTTGTCTTGTCAGTTACGTATTCGATCAACATGTACAGCATCTACCCGAACGACAAATTAAAGCTGAAATGTTGACATATTGCCTCATAGTCATCTTTTAATGTCAAACCCAAATGTTTTCATTGTACAGCAAAAAGATGTGAACTGGCCTCATCGGTCTGGACTTTTGGAGGGGTGTGTCGAAGGCCGTAGTTTGGACAGCACCGATCTAGAGGGATGCCAGATTGAGACGCCATCCGGAATGCTCGTGTTTAGTGAAAGCGGCGACATGGAGAACAAGCATTTGTAAGGACTTGTAAGAGATCACAAAGACTTTGCTCATTCCTGGAGCAGGTCCTTCGATTTTCATCCTTTGGATGCTGCCGGCGAGAAGGGTGACGATCCAAGTAGCTTTGGGCCCGTCTCAGTTCCCATCCTTGAGCAGGCATATGAAGAACGTGCTCGATTGATGGAGCTGGACCCCATCGTGAACGTGCGTTGGGTGCTGAAGCTGTATGACAGACCCAGCTCAGTGAACTTCAGACAGCATTGTCTTTTTCAAGGCCAAAAGCGCTTCGATGGGCAAAGACGCCCCATGGGTGCGAGCGACTTGGCCGTGGTTGTTGCCGGTCAGCGTGACGTAAGTATCCTGAGACTCCAGTGGGGAAGACTGGGTGCAAGGAAGCGGGCGCTGGTTCTGCACCCTGAGGCTTTCCATCAGCCAGTGATTGTGGGGTATTTTTCTCAGCGCCAAATCCACATCCTCGTCCGCGTGTCGGAGCGCGGGAGCGCCGGACATTTTGGGCGGTAGAGGTGGTGGGGGGTATGGGGGGTCCAGGCTTAGCTCTGAGAGAACCTCCAGAGAAGTGGGGTATTCCTCACTGTAAAACGATGCCGGGCTCGACCACAAGCCCCCGTTCGTATGTTTCAACCACTCCTGTGCAAGGACAAAAGCGATGGAATGAAGATTGCGTTGACTCTTTGAGGACACGCGCGTGCTCCACAGGGGTCCCGCTGCTCAGCAAGCCCCTTTGGATTCAACGCAACCTTGTGATTTGGGCTCACGAGTACAGTACATGATCAAAATGTAGCTCAAATCCTGCCCTTTGTACTTACGCTGCGCTATTCTTGTCAGAATCGTTTCTTACCTGAAAATCTCCACCGTGATCAGTGAAAAGGCCTTGAAACTTGCTATCGGGGGTTGGGATAGCCGGCCAAATCTTCCTTCTCAGAAACCTGGCAAGGACAGGTAAAATAGTTGCCCCTTTTTCTTAGCAACTGAGACTGGTCACACTTTTTTTTTCTGTTTTTTTTTTTTTTTTTGTGATATAAGGAAAATCCTGACCTGCGATTGGACACGAGCACAGTGAAAGACAGCACCATGAGGATGAAAGCCATGGTGAAGATGAGGAAGACAATGAGTAGGTTGAATTCTGTCATCGGAAAACCACAAAAGAGCTCAGTGTGCCACAATTGAAATAAGAGTTAACTCAATCGAGAAAGTCCAAATATAGGAACAGAAACGTGCCGTTCTACCAAGCTTCAAACAACATCGAGCCACATGAATGAACATGCTGCTCAATGTTGTCGCCGACTGATATGTGCAATTCGTTCGGGGATGAGTGGCACTGCACTAACGACAAGGCACTCTTAAAAATGTTTCTTTTTTTGTATATCATCAGCGCCAAAATACGCTTGTGAACCCGGAATGACACAATTTGTGTGAATAAATGCAGACCTGCAGGCGCTGTCTCCATGAACACCGGCTCACTCCACATACTCCAGAAGCCATTATAGCTAATTCCATCCAGTTTGACCCGAACCCGCACCTTGTACTTCGTGCCTGGCTGTAGGCCCCTTAAAATCATCCTGGAACTGGCTCGTACTACCTCTACCTGCAAAACCAGCGGTCAGATCAATCACAACCCCCACACCCCATAAAAAAAAAAAACAAACATAAACAATAACAGAATCCATACCTGCACCTCACGACTGCCAGCCATCGCATAGGAGACCTCGTACATCAAGCTGTCGTCCATGTGTCTAAGGGGAGGAGGTATCCAGCTGACATTGAGCTGACCCTGTTGACCCGTGGCACTCACGCTCACGTTAGCGAGTGGGTCCAGCAGAACTGTCGGATAAAGCACAGGATTTGGAGCGTGATTCACGTCAAGACGTTTCACGCTACTCGTCACGTGACGCACATTCAGGAGAAAAAGGCCCGCGATCATCTTCCAGTGATTGACGACCTTATACAAAAAACGTGTTTGCTTTTCCATCGGCAAAGAGTCAAGTGGAAGCTACGTAAACCGTCCAAACGTCACTGCTTACGTCAACATTGACCCAAGAGCGCCTGCGCTATTAATAATCATAATAATGCTCCATTAGCAACTCCTCGGCAACTCGGCATCGCATCGATTCGACTCATATGTGGTATATCACAGTCGGGGACCTGCAATCAGCAAACGCTTACATCTTTCGGACATAAAAGTTGACTTACAAAAAAGTTCGACCAGAAGGCTTCGATTGTGGATCAGCCTTCCTTCTCGACGAATTTGAATGTCCATGAGCTCAAACATCGACGCTTGATTCAGGTGGCAGATGAACAGCTTCTTCGCCCCTTGCGAATGGACCGTCAGTGGGCATTTGCTGCTATTTTCTTTTCTGTTAGAGACACAATAAACAATTGCGCTCAGAGTTCACACCGGTGAGCAAGTACAATGCACACAGTTGAAAGTTGAAAATGTTGTTTCATCTTCACCAAGATTTGCATGACAGCATTTGTAGTCACAGAAACACGACCACTAATCGCGAGTTCCCTATTCGCCATCGCATGACACGTACTTACCGGTAGGCGTATGTGAAGGAATACTGATCCGCAGAGCCGGCCCTCTCCTCATCTTCCTCCCAGAAGCAGGTGAAGTCCTTTTTGCTGTCTGTAAAGCATTTGGGGGTTTCCGGCTCCTTTTCCAGCACAAGAGAGACTGTCCAGGCGATGTTTGGGGTGCAGCACAAGAGGGTGAGCATCATGAGGGGGGGGGGGGGGGGAACAGTTTGGTCAGTCATCTGTCTTGAGCAGATTCCCGTGATGGACCTCGAAGTTGATTGAAGGGTCAGGCCTACCTTTGCTCTGGAAATCTGGCGCGCCTGGGACACCGGAAGCCGCCCTCATGGCGCACGCAATGCTCGAAAGTGCCAACAATCGCCTCAGGTGATCACATGTCATCCTCCCGTCTTCTCTGTGAACAAAAAGACCGGCGCCGTCTTGCTGTGCACAAACATGAGAACAAGGTGAAACACGCCAGCGCGCATCCGCACCACTTCTGTCCCCAGCGGGGGGGCTTGTCCCGTTTTGGCTTCAGATACCAGGGAGAGCACAACACGGTTAAAAGGCTGCGCCGAGCTGATAAGATGCGCGCCGAGCTGTTTACTTGCTCCTAAAAGCAGCAAAGATGACAAAGAGGAGGGGCAAAATCACATGCCCCAAACTTTTTCACTCCCTTGTTGGCAGGCGGGAATCGGACACCGAAGGTTAACGTATGTTTGCTTTGAGCTCTGGGCTCCACTATGTGACCCGAGTCTGCAGACCTCAGAGCCCTCCAGGGTTTATACAGTAACCCATGAGCATTTCTCTCATGTCATCAGGACCGTAGGCCTGGTTTGGTTTGGTGCGGAAGAACTTCCAAGCCCTGACCCGAGATGACACCTTTGAAAAGAAACTCAACTTATAAGATACTGGAGCTGTGTAGGCAGACAGACCGAAAGATGTGCTCTCAGGACTGGAATGAAACAACACACTATTTACCTGAAGAGGCAGACAGAAACGGTTTCTTATCATTCTTCTGCACTCTTGTTGTCTTCGCTTGACCACCGTTATCGCAGCGGCAGATGTGGCTGTTTCTTAACCCTGATAGGTAGCCGAGGGGGGAACTCTCGACCAATCCTCGCTTCTTCTTCGATGCAACCGCGCGCTTCCTTACATCATTTGAAAGAGGCACGGCAACCGTATTATTTTTGCATCTGTGCGGATGCAAAGAAAAGATGCTTTTCACATGCGTGGCAATCCTCAGGGATGGAAATGAAATTCGAGCCGGTCTCGAAACTGCAGGCGGCGCAGAGGAAATGGGGAGAGGAAAAGGAAGGTGTGGAAATCGGCATGTGTGGTTTTGCTGGTTCTTGAGATAAAACAAGAAAAATGGATGCACGAGGGTGAAAGTTGTACACTACTTGCTCACCACACAGGTTAACAGCTAAGGTGAATGTGCACATGTCAAAAAATCCTTCAATTCTATGACGGCGGAGTTGTCTCTCAGCAGTATTATATTTCCTCACGCCTTTCAAAAATTCTCCAACTCTGTCAGGTGTGAGGATCTCTTATTCTCATCACTACACATTCTTTCCTTTTTTTTTTTTTAAGTAGATTTTATTTTTGCTCCATGTATACAGCGGTGGTTGTTTTCAAGTGCTCTATAAATACAGTCCAGTTGAGTTGACTTAAACACTGAAACCGTTGTAAGAAAATGGCTCATACCAGAGAAAGAAAAAAAAAAGTATGAGCTCAGCACATCAGGGTCATACATGCCATTCCTTTAAAACCATCGAAGAACGATGTGATACAAACGTCGCCTTGTACGTTAGCCTCCTTACGCCATCGTTGGACCAAAGCCATTCGCGTGCATCGGCAGCCTGATGTGGCTGAAAGATATTTTTCAGCGACACTCACTGACCAGAGAGATAACCGACGACGACAAGCGCTTGCGCAAGGAACAATTCATCAATTGTCAAACACGGCGCTGCGATGACTGACTAAACCAGAGTGTCTTGCTTTCACTTGCTGACAGATGAACAGCCATGTTTAACAGCGAAAACAAATGGTTTTGGGACCACACGCGCGCGCGCGCGCGCACACACACACACACACACACACACAATGATTTATAACGCATCATTCAGCGGTAGGTGACTGTCACAAGTGTATAACGACTTCCTCACAGGCATCAACAGCCTCTTTGCTGCATTCTCCTGCGATTTAGACTGGAGAAAATATCCCAAGAACCAAAAGCAAAGGGTACAAAATGAATTAATCTGACAGATGCTTCAACGACGTGACAATGACATGAAGAAACTTTTACCTCCAATTAGCTAAAAAAAGAAATAAACAAACAAACAAAGAAAAGAATCCACACAACAGTGACTTTTTAGGCATGAGTCTGCAAGGCACAGTGAATGCCGTTGTACTTTTTCATCTTTGGCACAATGTCCCGATGGAACAATACACTGGCTTTTTTTTTTTTTGAAAGGGGAAGTCAAGTCCAACATTTTCTGTACAATAATTTGTTTACTGCGGTCCCACGAGTTGAATCACGGTATTCTGATTAACATTGCGTTTGTAGGATATGAATTAAGCAGCAAATTCCACTTGGTTTCGATCCATCTCAGGGTCGGCCATTTTGCTACTTGCTGTTCACAAAAAAATGACATCACAGTTACTCAGGGCTCAGGTAACGGCCAATCACGGCTCAGCTTGCAAACGTCAAATGATGTGCCGTGATTGGTTTGTGGAATGTAGTAGAAAAATCCATCAGCGAAGAAATCAGTCTGTATTCGAATTTGGCACGCTTAGCGAGTGACAACGCAAGATGGCCACCGGTGACTTCGGTTCGTGCTACGACGAGTCGGAGAATTACAGGCTGTTCTTAAAGGGCCGTGCCTTAGGCACTATGATGTCATTATCAGTCCACAGCAAGTGGCAGAACAGGTCAAAACAGCAGCCTCAAAATATTGATTTTGAAATAAATAAATAAATAAATAATCAATCTAGAGATGGTAACTTTGAACAAATCATATTGTAAGATCTAAATTTAGAATATTTGATGTGTACATTTGGAGAAAGGGGATGAATCATTTCCGACATGGAACATTTTCTCATCATGTAAAAACGAATTAATAATCTTATCGTCTGCCACATTCCTATGATTTCCATCACAAAGATACCATACAAAAATAGACTTGAACTCTTTATAATTTTGGAAATGGTAGTGATTCAGGAGCTGAATAGTTCCTGCACGGCATCACGTTGAGGCGTTTCTAATACATGAGGTCGCCTATTTAGCTAAATTACAAACAGACTCAACACCCCCCCCCCACACACACACAAATCCAAGAATAAAAATGCTAGATAAAAATTGAGCTATATCAGCACTGCAATAACATATGCAGATATCTCATTACATTTTATATGTAATTATATCAAGATTACCACGGAACTTTAATATTTAAGTGGGCCAAAGTGCTCGATGATGGTTGCAGAGTTGGCTTCAAAAGAAAGTGAGCCGCGAGGCCTTGTCTGAGGAGGAAAGAGGGACTAACAGTCACGAGGATTATCTCAACTTTCTGCCTATTGTGTTGGGCGTAGCTACAGTGAATGCAGGATGAGGAGCAGCGATTCCCAGAGTTGAGGCACAGAGATATAGATTAGCAGTACTGTGTGTGTGTGTGTGCTCACACGCGCACACGCATGCGAGCGGGCGGTTTAGCAAGCGCAGCTGCCTTGGCTGTCGGAAGACGAGTCTTTCAGGCCCTGGTTCCTGTGGTTGGGCAGTATGCTCATGTCTCCCTCCATGCTCTCGTTCATCTTGTCACAGATGACATCCACGAGGCGCTCAAACACCTGCTTGACATTGATGTTGTCCTTCGCGCTGGCTTCGAAGAACTGGAAACCTGATGGCGAGAGATGCGGCAGTGTTGATTTACAATGTGCAAAAATGCCGGATGGATTCGTAACACAGATTCCCAACTGAGAAGTTTTTCCGCACCGAGGTCCTCCGCCAGACGCTGGCCGTCTTCGGTTGGTATGAGCCTGTCATCCTCTAGGTCACACTTGTTACCAATTAGGATCACCTGAGCGTTGTCCCACGAGTATGTCTTAATCTGTGTAGCCCTGCAAAACAGATGACACATGACAAACACCAACATATGCATTTATGCGAGATTGATAGAGAGCTAGAAAGCTAGCTAGCTAGCTAGTTTGATAGATAGATAGCTAGATAGAAAGCTACCTAGCTAGGTAGCTAGCTCGATAGCTGGCTCGATAGCTAGCTCGATAGATAGATAGATAGATAGATAGATAGATAGATAGATAGATAGATAGAGAGCTAGCTTGTTCGTAAGATAGAGAGCGAGCTAGAATAGAAACCGGAAGGCACAGAATTGTGCGAACAGATTGACTGAACTGGACCTATCAAAGAACACACCCATCGACATCCAGTGTAGAAGTAAATGAAGTAGGACGCTTCAGGAAAATCAGTTTTTATTTATTCAACTCAAAATACGGGAAGCACGGTGGTTACTGGACAGCGCTTAGCGCTTCAGCCGCACAGTCAAGAGATTCTGGGTTTGAATCTCGTCTCCAAAGCGCATTCAACCATGACGACCTGACCCGAGTGTTTACGTGAAATGGTATAACATGATTAATATACACGCAAAAACCTACCAGTCCTGAACTGCATTGAAGGACTCCTGGTTGGTGATGTCATACATGAGCAAGAAGCCCATGGCGCCTCTGTAGTAGGCTGTGGTGATGGTCCGATAGCGCTCTTGTCCTGCTGTGTCCTGCATTTAAACACACATTGAGAGAACATGTCAATACACAGAATCCCGTATACTTGCGTAAAAATGTAGTTTGTTGTAGTTTGCAAAATTTTACTGTATCGTATTGACATCAGGCTCCAATAATGCAGCTGCGGGGTCAAAAAATACCATACGATAAAACATCTTAGTATGTATGCAGTGATGCAAAGGATTAGTACTTTTTTTTTAGTTTATCTACCCATGCTACGAAGTGTTACTTTTTTTAAAGGCATATTTTTGTACAGTCCCTCACAATAGTAGGAGGAATGATGTTTATTCAGATCTATATAAATTAAGATGTATATTTGAATTTCAGTCATTAAAACAAACGTCAATCTTTTCTCACCACAAGAGGGTGCTATTGTTCACATTATCAGCGTGGTTGTATTTCTGTGCCCCCGTCAGAAGTACCGGCCAGGTACTGCAAGCGGGGTGATTTCCAGCCAGGGTTCAGTGTACCTTGAGCGATCATCAGTGGTTCGAGGGAAAAATATAATCTATCAAATTTACATTTATTCACACATCTATATCGGTGAGCTGGCAGAAAGTACGATGTATCGGCGTGTCCAACAAGCCACTTGTTGCCATTCCTACAACAGAATAAACCATGGCTTCCTTTGAGAGTAAATTGAGATGAGATAATCACTATTTCAGTATTTTTGAAGTCAGGAGTTAATGTTGCAGTTCTACCTGGTTTTGTTGGTGCTTATGGGAAATCAAGATCAACGGGAGAGATGGAGCAGGAGTTGGTCGCTTTGGTAACGGCTTTCATTTACATCAGGGTCGTGTCCGTTTGTGTTCGTTTGATGGACGCAGTGAAGAGGAGAGTGTTGTCTGGGTAACCGTGAGGGCAGTCGGGGTTATGAATGCTCAAACCCAAAGTAGCCCTTTCAGGGACAGCGGTCACAACAGTGAACAGCTTATCATGTTACAGGTCATCATTATTGGTCCACGAAAGAGTTAAAAAAGTGGCCAATAAGTTTACATAAGAAAAACAAATCCATTCGTCAAATGAATGGAAACTGTTGCCTCACATTTGGGGAGCTGTACAGATGATTTTTATGGTACTCGTAAACATATTGTTTGGTATACAATCGGTGGACACACAGCGGGATGCATCGCCGTCATCCACAGCCTGTGCATGTGCAGTTTGCACTCTTGTGAGTGAAAGGTGTGTATTTGCGCAGCAGTCAGAACACACCACTCCATGCCTAAGTAAAGGGATGAAAACATTGTGTGCGCACAGCGTGTACATGTGCTTGTACAGTGTACGCGTATCCCGGTGCGAGGGCCATGTGGTGCATTATCAGTCACGCCTGTTTCCATGATGCACAAAGGGGAGCCTGGCAACTGGCAGGGAGGGATCAGAAAAAAAAAAACTGTAAAATATCTTTCGGATGGTGGGCAGTGGGAACTATCCTGAATTTGATGGTCAGTGGGTTGATGATTAACACAAAATGTGGACGCTCACAAGAGAGGGCGCCTATTTAGACACGTCGTCGACGCCCTTGAAATACACGCTGCTCTGGCACCGCAGTAGATCTTCGTTTTGTCTCCACCATATGCTGATAGGGAACTTCCTCAGCTTCCTGAACTTATAAAATACCGGTCTGTGTGCCATTAAACCGACGAAACAGGACCGGGCAGACAAGTAAGGCCACATTCTGAAAAAAAAAAATCTTCCTATGAACACACGATGCAGCCATTTTGGGAGAATTCTTCGCATGTGTCACATCATTGAACAAAACATCATGTTCAAGGAAGTGAGTGTGTGTTTTGGCGTGGGCTCATTGGCTGGCTCGCGTTGCAGTGGCTCACGCTTTATTAGTTGAAGTGAATCACTTGTTTGATCAGTCTTATCAATGTAAATCAACAGAGTGGTGAGGATCATAACGCTCCTGAAATTGACACCGAGATGGAATTTATCATGAGGTGTGCCAAAAGTGTGGTCGTTTCTTTTCAAGAAGTCCGACAATGTGTTGGACTCAAAATGCACCCAGGGGCAAGAATGAGGAGGGCCGCGACAGAATTTGACATGACATTGGTTCATATTAATAGATTTGGTTGGTATTAGATGCCCGATAAGTGTGTAGCCTCAGAATGACTCTGTAACACCTCAAGCGCTTGCGCAATTTCGAGGGGTAAGTCGTAGAGGATGTTGGCTTTCCACGTCGCTATCTGACTTAAAATATGGTG